TTTTTAAAAATAGAGATTTTTTTAAGAAAATCAATCAATGTAATATACCACATTGACAAAATGAAGGACAAAAAACCACATGATCATCTCAATTGATGCAGAAAAAGCATTTGACAAAATTTTACACTCTTTCATGATAAACACACTCAACAAACTAGGAATCATAGGAAACTACCCCAAAATAATAAAAGCCATTTATGAAAAGCCCACAGCTAACATCATACTCAATGGTGAGAGATGAAAGCATTTCTTCTAAGATCTGGAAAAAGGTAAGGATGCCCACTCTCACCACTTCTATGGTAAAATGATCTTCAACAAGGGTGCCATGACCACTCAATGGGGAAAGAACAGTCTCTTCAACAAATGATGTTGGAAAAACTAGATATCCACATGCAAAAGAATGAAGTTGGACCTTTAACTTACACCATCTTAAAAATTCGACTCAAAATGGATTAAAGAACCAAACATAATCTCTAACACTACAAAATTTCTGGAAGAAAACATAGGTGGAAATTTTCATGACACTGGGCTTGGCAACAATTTCTTGCATATGACACCAAAAGCACAGGCAACAAAAGCAAAAATAGACAAATGGGACTATATCAAACTTGAAAACTTTTGTGCATCAAAGGACACAATCAACAGAGTGAAATGTCAACCTATAGAATGGGGGAAAATATTTGCAAACCATAAGAGGTTAATATCCAGAATATGTAAAGAACTCCTACAACTCAACAACACCAAAAAAACCCAAACCGATTTAAAAATGGACTAAGGACTTAAATAAACATTTCTCCAAGGATGATATATAAATGGCTTAAAAATATGAAAAGATGTTCAACTTTATTAATCATCAGAGGAATGCAAATCAAAACCATGAATGAGATAGCACCTCACACCTATTAGGATGGCTACTATTGAAAAAAGAAAAGTGTTGCCTAGGATGTCGATAAATTGGAACTCTTGTGCACTCTTGGTGGGATTGTAAAATGGTGCGACAACTATGGAACAGTATGGAGTCTCCTCAAAAATTAAAAATAGAACTACTCCATAATCCAGCAATCCCACTTCTGGGTATATATCGAAAAGAATTGAAAGCAGGGTCTCAAAGAGATATTTGCACACTCACGTTCATAGCAGCACTACTCATAATAGCCAAGAGGTGGAAGCAACATAAAAGTCTATCAATGAATGAATGGAGAAACGAAATGTGTTATATGAGTAAAATGGAATATTATTCAGCCTTAAAAAGGAAGGAAATCTTGTCACATGTTACAACATGGGTGAATCTTGAGGACATTATGCTAAGTGAAATAACCCAGACAAAGACAAATACTATATGATCTCACCTACATGTGGAATCTAAAAAAAAATTCAAATTCACAGAAGCAGAGAGTAGAACAGTGGTTATTGGGGGCTGATGGGATGGGGGAAGTGGAGAGATGTTAAGCAAGGTTACAAAATTTACAGTTAAGTAGGATGAATAAGTCTAGAGATCGAATATATAGGCATGAAGACTATATTGTACTTAATAATACTATATTGAACACTGGAAATACGCTAAGAGAGTAAAAAAATGATCATTATGTGAGATGACACGTTAATTAACTTGACTGTAGGAATCATTTCACTATGTATATTACATCAAATCACCATGTTGTATACTTAAATATATACAATTTTTATGTTTTTAGTGGCTAAGATGGTAAATTTTGTTATGTGCTTTTTACCACACAAAAAATGAACAACTTTGGGATTTCCCCGGTGGTGCAGTGGTTAAGAATCTGCCTGCCAATGCAGGGGACACGAGTTCAATCCCTGGTCCAAGAACATCCCACATGCCGTGGAGCAACTAAGCCCATGGGCCACAACTACTGAGCCCACGTGCCACAACTACTGAAGCCCGCACACATAGAGCCCGTGCTCTGCAACAAGAGAAGCCACCGCAATGAGAAGGCTGAACACTGCAACGAAGAGTAGCCCCTGCTCGCCACAACCAGAGAAAGCCCGTGAGCAGAAACAAAGACCCAACACAGCCAAAAATAAATAAATAAATACATAAATAAATATATTTATTAAAAAATGAATAATTTAGCAAAAAAATGGAGAACATTTATGAACCAAGAAAATTTACCAAATACATATAGTCAATAACCATAAGACAAAAATAATTTCACTAGCAATTAAGCTTTAAAAAAAGATATCAGTATTCAGATTCCATGATCAGACTGAGAGAGCTATCAAAGATTAACACAGGGTGTTGGCATTGGGCACTCAAAGTATTAAAAGGAATGTAATTTGATATAATTCTGTAGGGTAATTTTGCAATAAATATATTTCTGTGTATAAATATATTAAATATAAAAGATTTTTAATATTTTGACAAGATCTTTCATATTAAAAAGATATTTTTAAAATATTTTTTTAAAAGTCTGTGTCCTCTGCTCCCACAATTCCACTTTCAGGAATATATCTGAAAGAAACATTCTGACAGGTGGGCAAAGATAAATCTTTAAAAAGTTCACTGCAGCAATGTTTATAGCAAGGACAAATTAAAATCAGACTATCTGGGACTTCCCTGGTGGCGCACTGGTTAAGAATCCGCCTGCCAATGCAGGGGACACAGGTTCCAGCCCTGGTCTAGAAGATCCCACATGCTGTGGAACAACCAAGCCCATGCACCACAACTACTGAACCTGCATTCTACAGCCTGCGAGCCACAACTACTGAGCTTGCGTGCCACAACTACTGAAGCCCGCATGCCTAGAGCCCATGCTCCACAATAAGAGAAACCACCGCAATGAGAAGCCTGCACACTGCAACGAAGAGTAGCCCCCACTCGCCGCAACTAGAGAAAGCCTGTGCGCAGCAACGAAGACCCAATGCAGACAAAAAAAAAAAGAAAGAATATAGCCTCCTTTTTTAAAAAAAAAAAAATCAGACTATCCCAGATATGGGCTGGAGCAAATATGTATGCATACTGGAGGACAAGACATTGAAAATAATGATGTAGGTACCGACACTGGAAAGCATCCCCAATACATTGGTAAATGAGAAAAACAAGTTACAAAGCAGTCTGACAGGGGAAGGTGTGTATATTTCCACAGGGGAAAGTACAGAAGGATACATACCAAAATGTAAAAAGCACTGGATGTAGGAATTTGGGGTAATTTAAAATTTTTCCCAAGTTTTCTACATGGTTTTACCTGCACACATTTTTGAATATGGATTTAAAAAAAAACAAAACTCAATGTCTTCCCTTTTTACCAGTAGACTCTGGCCCGCACATTTATGACTTTTCAGCTGGGATCAGAAAAAAATCTCCACACGACACAGCCAAGCTGTGATGAATTTCTCAACTGTGTATTGTGAATAGTCCAGAGAAGTCAAAATATAACCAATCTTCTCCCTCTCAAGCTATTTCTTTAAAGTGTTTTTTATCCAGGAAGCCAGAGCACCTACAGAGACTTCTTTGCTGAGAAGAAAGAAGAGAAGCAGTCCTTTTCCTTTTAGAGGGGCAGCCAGAGTAGAGAAGTGAATGCATAGTACCTAAGTTCAGAGCTCTCCCACATGCACTGGCCATGTGATTTTAAGCAAATTACTTCTCTTTCAGTTTTCCCACCTGTGAAACGAGGAAACTAGTACTGATCCTTATTGCAGATAGAGCAGTTATAACTATAAAGCCCTTGCACAGTGCTCGGCTATGGTTAACCATTCAAGAGCACACAAGGGACCCCACAAAGGTAATCAAAGGACCATAAAATCAGTATATGTTACAATTTTTTAAAACCATGCGTCATTCCCTGCCTCCAGCACACAAACAGAAAAGCAGACAGACAGACTCGTAGCCTGAATGAGAAGACACCCGAACACCAGATTAGAAGTGGCTTCAAGGCACAGAGCCACAGGCACACAGGTCAGCGTTCTCTAGGCCAGTGTGCACGCGGTCAGAATGGTGGGCAATCATCTCCTACTACAAAACTGAACAAACAGCAGCGGTCCTTCAGGGGCAAGGGAGAACCTACCGCCTTGACGGCGCGTATAAATCTGTCAAGAAAATATTCTGGGGAAGGAAGCATAGAAAAAAGATCTGGACATCAGCGTGTGGTACTGACTTAAATGGTCTTCCTGACAGATGCATTCAAAGCGACCTAGGTGTGCTCTGCCTCACCTGAGCACAGCCCTGGGCTTCAGAGTCTCACTGCTAGGCGAGCGCAAAGGAAAACGAGGGCAAACCGGAGCAGAGAGGAGCACCTTTAAGAAGTGCCGGGGGCTGGAGAGGGCCTCTGGAAAAATGGGGGCGGGGGATGAAGGAGGGGAGCGGGGCAGAGTCGAGGTGTTAGGTGGGGAGGTGAAAATGGGCGGCTCCGGGCTGAGCCTGACAGAGGCGAGAGGAGAGGGGCGAGCGGTGGTCACCGCTAGCACCACACAGAGCGATCGGTGCGAACCCCAAGGCCGCCATGGGAGGCAAGAGAGCGTCATTCTTCCTAGACGCGTCTTCTTCCGGTCCTGATCTTTAGAAAAAAGTAAGACCAGTCATCTCCTTGGTTGGGGCGAAGACGAGAGAGGGCTTTTCGAAGTTCTGAGAGTGAGGAGAGGCCCCTGACAGTTCGGGATCCTTCCAGAAAGATTCCAAAGACACTCAAGCCTCTTCTACCTCCCAGAAGCCTGGCACCTTGTTCCCGTCACTCTACAAAGGTAGCGCACTAACAGCAGCCGCAAGCGACCCGGAGGGTCGGTGCGACTCCCCACTCCCACCACTGCACTTCCACCTTTCTTCTGAGGCAGCACGCGCCCTTCACACGTGCAACGGCCCCCGCTGCCGCCTTCCCATTCCGAACACCCGTGAGGCAGCAAGCGCCCTAGCGTCGGGGCGGAGCCACGCCCGCTGCGCACGCGGAAAAGGCGGGAAAGTCTGATGCGCTGAGAGTTTGCGAGCCGCCAGTTCCCCGTGCATCTGCTGCCTCCTCTGACAGCTCCGCAGGCTTCCTTTCACGCACCTTTCGCCGAAGGGGATGAGGGCCCAGCGACGGTTCTCGGTGTGGCTCCGGTTCACTGCCATCCTGCCCTAGGGCCGCTCCTGCCGCCCCTCAGATGGGAAGGGGCGGGGCCTGCGCCAAGCTGTTGGGTGGGGCTCTGAAGGGGAGGGCGGAGATTATGGCGTAAGGGACTGAGGCGGCTGGTCACGGGAGGGGCCTTGGTCAGAGGACCAGACGGAGTCAAGGTCGAGACAGCCCTGATGGGGAAGCGGGAGGGTCCAGGGAGTTGACTCCACCTCCGGAGCGCAGAGGAGTGAGTGATGAGTGGCCTCCTCGACGGTGATTCGCCGTCTTGGCCCCTATGTGGCTGCCCCGCTGCCCACGGGTATGAACTTGAATTGGTCCTGTTGGGAATCAAAATTAAAAGTGGAATTTTCCTACGCCCTCCTTGGCCTGAGTCAGGAAGCTGTTGCCCTTTGGAGAAAGGGTCCAGAACGATTCCTCACCTCTCCTAAGGCGAGCAGAACTTTCTTCCACCAAAGAAAGCCTGGGATCAGAGCCGATTTCTTGTGAGGCAGCATCCAGGAAAGGGTGCGTTGCTGGGTCAGGAAATCAAAGGGGGAATTTCGACCCTGTGTGAGTCTATTCCAGCTCCAAGATGGAGAAAGCCTTTTGTCTCTGTGGTACGCATCATACCTGCCCTGCCTCCTCCAAAGGGTGACTGTGAAGATCAGGTGGGATACGTTATACCAGAATTGCTTTTAAAACTAAAATGTTGTATGTATTCTTATTTCCTTTAAATTTCACCAATAGCACCAGAGGGCTTCAAACAGAAGGATGTTAACATCTTCTGGACCACCTACCATATTTCATCAAATTTAAGATGTTGTCAGTTGTAAAATGCACTATTTTAAAGTGTAACTTGAAGGAAAAAAAGTTGCCAAATAAACGGACATCTGTTGTAAGATGTATGCTGATTTCAGAAATATATGTATTTTTTTTTAATCTTTTTTTTTAGGGTGCACCAAGCATAATGCAAGATCTTCCCATGACCAGGGATCGAACCCGTGTCCCCTACATTGGGAATGTGGAGTCTTAACCACTGGACCACCAGATATATATATACTTTTAAAGCACGACTACAATAGGAATGGCGTGAAGCAGGGGAACAAGCACTGAGGTCTAGGCCCTGTTCTGCCTTGGTAACTAAGTGTACAACCTTGGGCAAGACGGTTATGCTTTCTAGACTTGTTTCCATATCTGTTTGAAGGAAGAACGAGAAGAACTCTTAGGTTTCTTTCAGCTGTGATATTTTATGATTCCCACACTGCTCTGTCACTCAAATCTTCTCACTTCCCTCCATCTTGGTGTGGCCTTGCCGTTCTAGTTCCAGTCATCATTTTACTTGAATGACTCCAAGGGCCTGCTGACCTCTCTTCCTCTCGTCTTGACTCCCCACCATTCATCTATACCTTGTACTCACCCTACAGAATGTTGAGGACCCAAACACAGTTGCACATGATTGTCACATTCAAATTCAGAGAGATAATATACAGGTAGAGTTGTGTTATTTGCTGGCTATAGAAGACAGTGTGAACCTCACGGGAGGAAGGATTGGTTTAAGTTTGAAAAAGACAATACAAGTTAGTGCTTTAAGTTTAGCTCTTAAAAGTCTTCACTGCAAAAAAGGCAGGTCTCAGGCTTCCCTGGTGGCGCAGTGGTTGGGAGTCCGCCTGCCGATGCAGGGGACACGGGTTCGTACCCCAGTCCGGGAGGATCCCACATGCCGTGGAGCGGCTAGGCCCGTGAGCCACGGCCACTGAGCCTGCGCGTCCGGAGCCTGTGCTCTGCAGTGGGAGAGGCCACAACAGTGAGAGGCCCGCGTACCGCAAAAAAAAAAAAAAAAGGCAGGTCTCTAGGCAAGATAGGTCCACTCCTTTCCTAGATTTGGTTTTATGCCTTCTGGAAAAAGGAGGGTGAAAGCTAGGAAATTAATTGAATGAAAATAGACATTGTTTCCATTAGAGGAGACAGGCTATGCAGAGCATAGCATCCCTCAAGGTAAAGTGTGATAGCTCCATCACTCACTTTGGATACAAAACTCCAGGGAATAATGACAGGGGTCCAACTTCATGCCCACTGAAGATGAACTGACCTCACAAAAACTTTTCCATCTCTAATTTCTGTGTCTACTTCTTACCAAGATGATCCCTGTCTCACCCTCCACACATGGGTGAGATGATGTAATGGCTAATTTGGCCAAGGATTGAGGAGCAAAAATAAAACACAGTTCAGTTATTGTTCAAACAGCAATGTTTAGTTGTACAACACATAAAGTCTAGCAACATTTACACAACCAGTTTGAGTGTCTGTTTGCTTACTTTCAACTGGGAAAATTAATCATAATGTCACCAAAAGGTTGGCTGGGACTGGTAACATTTAAGAAATGGGTCGTTCTTGCATCCCCTAGGCTTGGGCCTCTTGCTCCATCAGGACTTGGTTGTAGATGAATGGCCCACAAGTCACCAGCCTTTGAGCAAGTTGTGTCCAGGTGGAAATGGTGGGGCAGTGGGCAAGGGGTATTCCATAAAGACATAGTGTGTGGGGCGGTGGCAGCTGACATTCGCAAACATTCATGCATCTGATGCGGGGCTGTACCCTCCACTGGGGATTTTCCACTAGCCTACAGTGACCAACTGTGGCCAGGCTGATTCATTACTCACGTTAATGGAGTGGGGGAGGGGGTGGGGTGGAGTAGTCAGGGTGGGTGGGAAGAGATTCCCTCTTATTGCTAAGTGGACAGAAGGGTGCTTTTTTCCTCCTAGAGTTCACATCCTGTGACTTTCTGGAGTTTTGTGTGTGCATTTAGTTCTTATTTAAAGTTTGAGGATAAGGAAGTCAACTCCAGGAATGTCTCAGGAAAGCCACGCTCCCTAAGTGGCTGCATTATGGGGCAGGGAGGGTGTGTGACTACCCTCCGGGCCAGCCACAAGCAGTGATTTTTTTAAAAAGTGATCCTAGCCCTTGCTCCCCCAGATCTGTAGTGACCCACCCTTATAAATAAGCTTTGAGCAATGAAGGAGGCACCCTCGTCCCACCTTGGGGCTCACACAGCTGACGTCAACAAATCCGACAAGGAGAAAAGTTGCTTTCTTGACCCTCTGAGGAAGCCAAGAGTAGCTCATGCAGATGAATGGACAGGGAACAATGCCATTTCCCTTGGAGATGGTTACAAGTAGCCAGTATGGGTTTGCAAGGGCAGAAGGAGCTCTTGGTGAGCTCTTTCACCCTACAGATGGGCTAGGACCAGCTGACACAGATGATGGAGGAGGGCAGTGCTGGCGAGAACTCCATTCCACTGGGAGGAGAGGGGTGGTTTGGATGAATGGAAGAAGCAACTGTCCTAAAGGGGCAGCCGGCCCCTCCCACCGGCTGAGGGCTGAGAGGGGCCGTGGTGTTGGCTGGACACACACAGCACTAAAAAGGGCGTGGCCCTGCAGCAATAACAGCTGAGAGGAATGGAGGGAGGAGCGGTGCTTGAAATGGCCTTCATTCTGCAGTGGGACAGGGGGTGGCTGGCACAGGTGGAAGGACAATGCCCAGGAGGCCTTCTCCCTGCGGGGGGGTTGAGAACGGTTGAGGGTGTGGAGACCAGCAGCTGGCAGCAGACATATAAAACAGCTTCTCCAGGGAGGCTGAGATCATGATTTAGGGGCGCCAAGCATCAGTCTCCTACTCAGCCTCTCCAATACCCCCCCCCACCCCTAGACCTTCCCCGCTAGGCCGAGGTGTCTAGTCCCACGTCTCCATATAAGCTAGGGATCCCTCTTCTGTTGAAATGTAGCAACCTCTGGGCTCTAACCCTGCCGCTCTTCTATCCTGCCTCGAATAACTTTGTGGGTGAGGGAAGATGTGGGTTGGACTGGTAAGGTGCTTCCAGGAAAGACTGTGACCATGAGTTTTGGGCCACTGGCAACAGATCACCTGCCTCTTTCTCCTGGTCCACTGAGTCTTGGTCTTAAGTCTATGTGTTCTCCTAGCACCTGAGTGATAAGGGACTATCAACGCTGGGATCTGCAGGGGACCAGTAAAACACCTAGGGTTAGACCAGGAGATGGAACAGGAGGTTGTAAGAGGTTACTGTAAACTGTATCACTTGTTTTCCCTTGCCTAAGGCTAAACTGTTTCCCCAGCCCCAAATTTCAGCCACCTTACAGACTATAGGAGAAAGAGTAACTTGTTTGTAAAACAACAGGGGAAATACATGCATTAATAAATACAGGGCTGAAGGGAAAGGCAAGAAAAGGCTACATGTATGATTGTGGCTATCACTGGGAATGTCTACAGGGGTCAGGAAGAGGAACTGGGGAAAAGTAGAGAAAGACAGACAAAAATGCAATTAGCTTCAACATGAGAGAGACAGTGAGACAGAGAGAGAATAGAAGAGAAGTAAAGGGCGGGGGGTCAAGTATACACAAGAAGAAGAGAGAAACAGAAGCCAGCTTTAAGGAGGAAGAATCCTGATGGAGAGAAGGGAGGTGTGGTTTAAAATTGCCAAACTACCAAGAAAGACAAATACTGTATATTGTTCTTGATACTTTAGGCTCAGTTCTTCTAGAACTTAATGCCTAGAACAGGTTGTCTCACTTGACCAGGACATGTGCTTCTTTAACCCGTGGGCACCGCATAACTCGCTGTATCTCCTCCTTTGCTGGGCTGCCCACAAGCTCGGGGCCATTTTCAGAGCTCGACCGCAGAAACTTTCTTTCCCATGCCTCTCTATAAATCCAATTTCTCTTGAAATCTCAGTTTGTACTGTCCTGTGATTTAAGCGATGATTTTATTTTAAGTGGCCTAAAGTCGTTTTGGGAAGTAGACTGGGCATCAATCCTAAATATAGAAATGAAGCTAAAGGGGATTAGGGTAAAAAGAAGTGAAAAGTCAGAGGGGGTAGAATGAAGGAAGGAGGGAAAGGGGGAAAAGAGAGGAAGTGGAAGCCGAGGGGAGCGAGGCAAGGGGACTGCGGAAAGCAAGCAGTCTTTGGTGGTGACAGGTAGTAGCTTTCGGACAGTGAACGCGACACGGACCAAAGGGTGGAGCTCTCTCCTCCACTTCTAGGTACTACTTCTTTCTGCAGGAGCCCAGCTCTGGGCTACTTCTCTGCTCTCCCCTGACCTTTCTTCTCCCAAATAGTCCTAGCCTTACCCCAGACCAACCCGGACTTACAGAGAGGGTTAAGTCATCAACTCCCCGTCCCCTCCCAGGTCTAGCTCCACAGACTGTCCTTGGAGAATCTCTGCAGTCCCTGTTTGCAGGTGGGTTTCAGAGGTAAGAAAGCATTACCTGTGGCTCACCTGCTCCCATCATTTTTAAATAAAACCTCCCCCAGAACTTGAGCGAGGCACACGGCTTTGTTCTGGGACACAAGGAAAGGAGACAGATAATGGACAGCCATGGAGGAACCAAACTTACAAGGGACTTTCCAGGGAGGGCAGTCAAAATACCTCACCCCTGCACAGGCGCACACACATACACACACACAATCTCACACACACACTCTCTCTCTCACACACACACACACACACACACACTGTAGACAAGATGCTCCACAATTACCAGATAGGCCTGTGGGACAGGAGAGAAAGGAAGAAGGTGGTTGGTGGTGGTTTGGGGATGTGTGTGCATGGAGAAGTGGGTATGTGTGATGATACAGAGAAAGGGTCGTCATGGGTTACTGTCGTGGCTTTCCTCTGTGTCCACGCTCACCGGGGGGAGGCCTCCATTGTCATTGAGCCGCTTGGCCCTGTAGGTCTCATAGTGGATGTTGTGTGTCACTTCCTTGAGGTCCTGGAGGTGGGTCCTGAAGGACACAGGGTGAGAAGAGAGAGGGATGTGATTAGCGGCGGCAGGAGGAAGAAGGGACCCACGTCTGAGGTCCACACATCGCGTCCATGGCCTGGACCCACTCCAGAGAGCCCATGATACCTCTTGAGCCCCTTTTCCTTTGAGACGCGAGCCGGGACTGGAGCAGAAAGCTCTGTCAGAGAGACCTGGGGACTGAGGAAGTCTATCTGAACAGACGGCCTCCAGACCCCAAATAATTAAACCTGCCATCTGACGGGAGGGGTGCATCTTACCTGATGACAAAGTCTCGAAGCAGGGCAAACTCACAGTGGTTGAGGTTTTCCACTGTCAACAACAACAACAACAAAAAAAAAACAGGTGGTCATTTCACTAATGCTGCAACACCAGCCGGTGAATTTCTGTTCAGGTCATGGAGGCATTTAGGAGGGAGCCACGGGTCAGGCTATGGTCACCCTTTCAGAGGTGTGCTCATCTTGGCACTTCAGTGCATTGGATTTCACTCATTGAACAAGTATTCATTAAGTAGCTACAGGGGCACAATACTACTCTAGACTCTGTGGAATAAGCACTATTATATCGCCCATTTTATAGAAAAGGAAACTAATACACAGGGAGTCTAAGAAACCTGTCAAAGGCCTAAGACACAATTCCTATCTTTGAGGAGCTTATAATCTGATTGGAAGACAGTAACACACATAGAAAATAACGACGCCATCTTAAAAAGGTCACGATGGCTTTTGATAAATTTAATTCAACATAGACCGAGTGCCTACGATTTGCAAATCACTTGCCAAAGACTGTGGAAGCAGAAGAGGATTAAGCCACAAACCCTCTTGTCTCACAATCTAATGGGTAGGGCAGATATTCTCATGATTCAAGGCAGATGATGAGAAAAAGCTATTTTTAAAAAAATCCCCACAAAGGGTCATAGAAAAATGAGAGACAACACGATATAATGGCATGAACCTGGTTTTGGAATCAAAATATCTGGGTCTAAAATCCAAGGTTCACCACTAACAAGTCATGTCATCCTGGACAGGACACTTAACCTGTCTGAGACTCAAGTGCCTCAGGACGGATGTTCTGAGAACGGCCACGCCTACCCTGCTCCCCTCCGAGGGGTATCATAATGAATGTGATCAACTGAAGTGATTCTCTGAGAACTTTCAGAATCATTGTGACCTTCTCAAGGTCACACCGTTCCTCATAAAATGAAAATGGCAACATCTGAACAACCCTTCAAGGGTTTTTCAGATCATGCCTCCTTTCATGTGAAAACCTTTCTCTGGTTATTCCGATCCTTATAATCTCTCCATGTTCTGAACTCCTTTGACCCTCGAGCTAGTGCCTCCTGGTCAGGTGCTAAATCCAACTTTTATTGCTTCCTGCCTGTGAGCCTCATCTTCCCAATTAGACTGTAAGCCCCTTACGGCAGGGTCTGGCTGACATTCATTTTATATCTTACATCCTAGGACTGTGCCTTGACCTATAGATGCTTAATAAATAAGCAAAATGGACCAGCGGCCAGTTCTTCAAGAAGATGCACTGAATTACCTTCAATGATCCCCCAGGGAGTTTTTCTGCCGAGGACCCGCTTGCCATTCACTTGGTACTCCTTGTCACTTCCAACCACAGCGAAAGGCATGCTCTCCTGCTGACAAACCAGACACACGTGCATGTCATCCTCCTACCATCTGGGCCTCCAAGGGCAGGATGGAGTACGGTCCCGGGCCTCTAGCCTTGAACGGCACATTTCTGAAGCTCATTCAGTGATCCCATTGATGGCAAGGGCAAGGCTCTTGTCTCCTAAAAAGAGCATTGGACTGGGAGTCTGAAGGCCTGGGTCCAACCCCGACTGCTCCCCGTGCCTAGCAGGTTAACCTCAGTATCAGCTTCCCTACGATTGGAGAATGCTTCACGCCCTTCAGCGCTTTATCAGGTTTGGTTTGATTTGCAACAACCCTGTGAGATAGCCAGGAAAGACAGACCTCTTAAACGACACCTACACGACTGACTGCCAAAGTAACTGAAGCTTTACACTGTCTCCCCCACTGGCAGAGGCCCACACCCGCTGAGCTTCCAGAGCTCAAAGGCTGCTCTCTGATGTGCGTAGGCCCCTCTGCTCCACCAGGTATCTGTTCCCAAATCTTTTTGCCTGGTGTGTACTTGTTGTTGCAATTGGATAAATTAACTGTTATATAAGCTGAGGACATATCAGTGTGGAGAGTTGTTTCTCTGAAAATTAAGTTGAATGTTTCAGAAAGACTTGATAAAGGTGAGCTGCTTTTGCATTCAGAGCGGACTTACCTTCAAAGAAGAGGCCTTGTCTCTCTCTGAAAAGAATGTTTAATGAATGTATTAAAACACTCTTTATAAACATTTAAGATAAATAGGTTTCATTTTTAAAATAACTTCTTCACTTCAATTGAGTTTTTCAATTAACTGACCAACTACCTGTCTCAACTACATCAGGTAAGGGGCTTCTACCAGGTTACCACACTGGATGAAGGAGACTCAAGACCAAAGCAAATGAGTGATTTGTCCCAGGTTACAGTGGTTAATGGAAAAGCTCAGACTAGAACTCAGGATTCTGATGTAGAATCATGGAATAGTAGAAGTTTAGAATTGGGAGGGATCTTAGAAATCACATAGGTCCGTGGTTTCCAAGCCAGGTTTCATGAAACCTTAAGATTCCCAGGAGAGGGACTTCCCTGGTGGCGCAGTGGTTAAGAATCCGACTGCCAATGCAGGGGACACGGGTTTGATCACTGGTCCGGAAGGATCCCACATGCCACAGAGCAACTAAGCCCGTGTGCCACTAGAGCCCGCGCACCACAACTACTGAAGCCCGTGCGCCTAGAGCCCGTGCTCTGCAACAAGAGAAGCCACCACAATGAGAAGCCCGTGCACCGCAACAAGGAGTAGTCCCCGCTCGCCACAACTAGAGAAAGCCCACATGCAGCAACGAAGACCCAACGCAGCCAGAAAAAAAAAAAAAATCCCAGGAAATACCCCAGGGGCTGCTCAGAAGGTAGGGCTGTGCCTGTGTCACTTAGCCAAAGCAGTTCTGTTTTTGTGTTTTACATATTGGAGTCTGTCTGACATTTAATTTTTTTAAGGGTTCTTCTCGGGAAAAAAAAAAAAAAAAAGAGCCTATAAGCCTCTGAATTTTATAGAAGGGGAAGCTGGCAAGCAGAGCTCTGGTAGAGTATAGATACTGTGGACCCCAGGCTGAAGCTTTTCCTGCCTGTGCCCTTCCATCACCCCATACCTTGGTTTCACTTGGCCCTGTGGGGGAACGAGAGGCTTTCGTGTGGTCTGGGGATGGACGGAGCACTGGCTTCCTAGGTGCAGGGTTCACAGTCCTGTCCAGCGCCCCAAGTCCTCAACCTCTCCCCTGACACTTCTGGTCTGGGTCAGGCAAGGTGGGGCAGGGAGTATGGAAAGGGAAGAGCAGGTTGCAAAGCAGAAGTGGTACGTGACCCACAGCCCAGGGGGACTAAGGCGGGCATCCGTGTGATGAACAGAGTCCCAGGCACCTACCCGGATTTTGTCATTCTCTGTCTTGTCCTCCAAATCCTCATCAAATTCCTTCTGGGGGTAGAATTCAATGCCATTTACTTCAAGCTCCTTTCGAACCTAGAGGTGGGGAGGAGAAGCATGGTAAGGGGAGAGAGGGCCATGTGTGCGTGTGCATGCGTGTGCACGTGTGTGCATGCTGAAGGCAGAGGGATGAATGCAGTCTTTGATAATCCAGTTATCTCTGAACTCTGAGGCCCTGGGCAGCAGGAGGATCCTGAACACATGGGAGCCCCAACCCTACAATTACCATAGCCCACCCCAGCCTGCAATGAGGAAGAGTCTGGGGGTCTAGCTTGTTCACCTTAGGGTAAGATTAGGATTCAGACAAGCAGTACAGCTGGGAACAGATTCCACATGGGCAGTGCTCATGCCATACTTGTTATATTCCTGTTTGCAGGGAAGAGAGGTGCATCGCCCCCACCCCCAGCCTCTCTGTTTATCCTCTTTCAAAGCTCGGCTTAAGTCTCCTCCTCCAGGAAGCCACCCAGCATCTTTTCAGTAATCTACTTGATTGTAAGTTTCTTAAAGGCAGCAACTGTCTTTATACTTCCTCTGCGTCTCCCCAACCCCGTCGCCTGTGTGTCCAACACAGGATAGAGCTTATGGAAAATAACAATAAGGACTAGCAGGCAGTTGGTTAATTAGTCCTTCAAGCAGCCTAACAGTGAGGAGTGGTTTCTCATGCTCATGGTGATTTGTGTGTTCAGAGGTCTTTGCAGGTAAGTTTGGAGGGCAGCAAGAAGGCTGGAGCTGCACTAACTTCTCTTCACTGTTGGTCCCCAGATACCACCAGTCCAGCCTCTTTAATGGTTGAGTAGGGGCTGGGTGGGAAGCGGGGTAGAGGGTGGATATAATAATGAAGGATAGGAGAGGGCTTGGACCAGAAGAGGGGAAGGCAAGGATGGGGACAGGAAAAGGAGGAGGGGGCCTTCTCACCCTTTGCTTGAATTCAGACTTCTCCTCCAGGGTCATGGTGTCAGCCTTAGCAATGACAGGGATGATGTTCACAACTTTGCTGAGGTGTTTCATGAACTCCAGATCGAGAGGTCGCAAGCTGGGGCCCAGAGAAGGTGGGGTGTCAGAGCCACCGTGCCCTCCCCCACGCAGCCACTGCCACCATTCCAGGGGCACCCTTGCGACAGGAGGACTGGGCTGGGAACTGGCTGAGGCCAAGAGGCTGCTCCCTTTCCTATCCGACACACATCCACCATCTCAATGTGCAGAAGAGACCCCGACTCTCCACCCACACACGGTCCACCACCTCTCTTTCTCCTCCTCGGTTCCCATGCAAATCCTGCCTTCTTTACGCCCCACTCAAACCACGCCTTCATGACATCTTTTCTGACCTGAGATTTCTTTCTCCTGGGGACAGCTGTGGACTGCTGTCCCTACCCAAACGTCCTTGTGTCACGGTTACATGTCTGTGTCTATTCTGCCTACAAGACAGCACTTTTTGACAGGTCTCCTCCCAGCCCCCAGTTAGTCCTGCAGGGCTCCATCTGGGGGCCTGACCCCTCCCCCATCTGCGGGGCCAGCTTCCTCTGGACTCTGGGGCCCCCATCTGGCTCTAGTTTGCAGTCTAGGGGACTCGTTCAGTCAGGCCATCTGCTGGCTTGCTCTGACCTTGGGTCCAGGTTCTAGGGAGGGATAACGCAAACTTTTTATTGAGTTCCTGAGCTCCTCCATTGAAAACCTGCTGAATATCTGATTCCTCCAACACTGGGGGCCTGCCTTGCTTGTGCCATCTTCTCAAGAACTGAACTAAGCTGGGCTTAGTGATAAATCACGAGACCCCCGCCCTCTGCTCGCCTACTTGGATTGCTCCGTTCTCTCCTGGTACTCCCTAGCATGGAGCCCCGCCTGATACTCAACAACCAGACTTCCCAGCATGCCCTGCTTATTGCCAGTCTTCATCTCTAGACACCTGGCTCCTCATGCTGGGCTGGCCGCCCTCCAAATGCCTACACCTGGGTACCTCCCCCCGCAAACACCAGCCCCAATCCAGTAGCCCAGCCCCTCCCCATTTCACCCTTCTTACTGCCCCTGACCCCAGGCTTGTGCAAAGCAGGTATCTCTTGAACAAATGAGGAGCATCTGGGGCACATAAGCCAACTTCTGTGTGCCGGCACAGTCGTGCTACGGTGCCAGAACACCAATGGGCGGCGTAGGGGCTGACGGTCAGCTTCACTCTCCTGGCAAGAAACTCTGGGGAGTCACCGGACTGTGACTACACTGGGGCCCATCTGGCCCTCCCCAGCTGAGTCCAGGTAACAGTTACCCACTACAGGTTGGGCACAGATGATGCAAACTAAAGCCAGGCCCAGCAATAGGGGTGGGACTGGTACATACGAGTGTCCCGTCGGGGAGATGAAATAGAGGCAGCAGTGGACACGAGTGTCAGGGATGCGTTTCTTCCTGGCTATGTTCACCTCCTCCTTCAGGAATTTCTCATATTGTTCATTGATGTATTTCTCAATGGGCTCCCAGCTGGGGGGTGGGAAGAAAGCAGATGGATGTCCCAGAAGGACAGGACCTGGGAGCTCACCTTAGACACGGTCAGGTAGCAGTCCCCTCACATCCATCTCATTTCCTACCTCCCCTGGTGGGTCTAGGTTACCTGCTGACTATTATCCCTTGGCCTCCCATGGATGGCTTTCCCTGTTATCAAGGGCAGAGCTCCCCTGGGGACCTAGCTCTCTGACTGGGCTAAGGGACCCTGCAGAACCCCATCCCACTCCCGACAGCAGCGCACACTTTCCCCACATCCATTACTTATTAGCTGGGCAGCTCTGGGGAAATCTCTGCCCCTCTCTGAAGCTGTTTTCTCATAAGTAAAAAGAGAGTAACAATAGGTGCCTGGAGAGATTCATAGAAGAATCAGAAAGAACAGGTATAGTACTTAACAGAGCAATGGCACGTAGAAAGTACTCAGTCATGGCAACAATTCATTGATAACAATGAATAATAACCCTTCTCTGTCCAGAAGTGTGTGTATAGCCAGAAAAGAAGGCAACCAGCCACTTCTCTAAGATCAATACAGCCAGTTCCTACGTGTGCTGCTGAGTGGTCCTGTCTGTCTGGGGCAGACCCCAGCTCCCTCACAGAGGCACAACTGTCACCATCCCTGTCTGGGAGCAAACTTCTGCCTGGAACCTTCTGTAAAGTGGGGAATGTCACTTGCCATCTGGTTCTACAAGGATTAAGTCATTAGTCACTGCAGTCGCTGACCTCCAATATACCCTGAAAGGAATTCAGGACAAATAACAGGATAAGGCTTCTCTGCACTTTGGGAAAACAGGCCCTCAGATAGGTCTATTTCAGAAAAAAAAAAATTTTATGGACCCAAATCCTTGCACCTTCCCCTACTTAGAAAAACACTAAAATCTTAACTGAGATATCTGACCCTCGTGACGAGCCTTTTGCTGAGCTGTTTGCTTGACTCTCCGTATCCCTCAGCCAGAAATCACACATATATTGCCTCTCGCCCACCTCTTCAGAGCAGGTCCTCAGAACCATCTGAGAGTTTGTCTCCCGGGCTACAGTCCTCAGTGAGACAGTGAATGAAACCCAACTCACAGCTCTTACGTTGTGCTTTTTTTTCACAGTCGACCCTTCCGTCTATGCCTGGGCAGTGTATTTCACCCCTTCTTGGCGGGACGCTGACTGCAGCTTTGCTCTGTGGATTCCCAGAGGCAAAGGTTCTCCATGGAAACTCCCCTTCCTCCTGTTTTCCACCCATCCTCTCTTTGTCCAGGGCTACAACATCTGGCTCTCAGGTCAAGCTCCCTGCCATAGCCTTCAGGTCAGCCTGGATTTGCACCCCAGTTCCCCTTGCTCTGCCTCTCCTGCCTATTATGACAGATCCACTCCCATCTCCAGGCAATCCCTCAGCTGACATTCCCTCTGTACTGTCCCCTTCCATCCCCATGCCTGGGCCCCATGAGGACCTCTTCCCTCACCTCCTGACAAAGCCCCTCCGCTCTTTCAGCAAGCCTTCCCGCTTAGCCCCTCAGCAGGGAGGGCGCAGACGGCTCTCAGTGTGAATGAATCTGCGCCACATTCAGTATCTGCCTTGCAGAGTCTTTAGGGTGGAAATCTCACAGGCAGACATACCAGTTTTCATTGTTGATCTGGTCTCCAAAGCCTGGCGTGTCGATGACAGTCAGCTTCATTTTGACACCGCCTTCCTCTATCACTGAGGAGTGAACAGAAAAGGCACCAGGATGCCGCAGAGCAACTAAGCCCGTGCGTCACAACTACTGAGCCCACATGCCACAACTATTGAAGCCCGCGTGCTTAGAGCCCGTGTTCTGCAACAAGAGAGGCCACCACAAGAAGCCCACGCACCGCAACGAAGAGTAGCCCCCGCTCGCCGCAACTACAGAAAGCCCGTGTGCAGCAACAAAGACCCAATGCAGCCAAAAATAAATAAATAAATTTCTTAAAAAAAGGCACCAGGGAGATCACTCCTCCAGCTGACACCAGGTGCCCCTACCAGCCCGGGGGGAGCTGGGCTCCTTCCTTCTGCAGGACTGATTATTGGAAAAGTCGAGTTCAGGGTCTTCAACACCTTTGTCCATGCTGTTCCCTGTGCCTGAAATGCCCTCCTTACCCCTTCTGCCTGTCTAAATCCACCCAGCCTTTGTCATCCAGCTCAAATCCTACTTCATTCCTTTCTAATTCCCTCACCCCCTTTCCTGGACTTACAGTCTAAGGAGTTGGCTCCCTCGTGTTTAGGGCTTAATTCTATTCTGTCTTGAGATTGCCTTTCATCTGTCTCATTCTCCAAGAAGCCCCATTCTTTCCCTTTTCTGCCAGAGGCTCCTCTGAACAATGCCCATCGGGGTCCCTGCCTGGTCCTCACCGTGCCCGATAGCTTTGATCTCCACTGTCTTGGGAATCTTCTCTTCCCGGTTCCAGCTGGAGGCCTTGCGGCTCACTTGGGATTTGAAGAGGGTGTTGACTAGTGTTGACTTGCCCAGTCCACTCTGACCTGCAGCAAGACAGGAGGAGGATGAGAAGGCAGGGAGATCCCATGCCCACCCGCCGAGCCTAGTACCTCTCCCCTGAGCTTACAGAATTCTAGAGCTGTGATCCAGGCCCTTGACTGACGGCTCACTGGGGAGGCAAGGGGCTGAGTAGGGAGAGCAGGTGGGTGGGAACGGTTTCCTACTTACTGGTGAAGGACCTGGGGGAATGTTAGTTGGATTCCACATTCTCTCCTTCTGGAGCCCCAGGACCACTGGGAAAGGAACAACCTCTGCATTTGTCTCATGTAGTGGTTTTCGGTTTGGTTTTGTTTTTGCTTGACCTAAGTTTTTAATATTTAATCATACTAAAAGTAAAGACAGAATTACTTTGCATACTGACACTACAGTTCAGCAGAAGATTTCATTCCAAGGGAGAGCTCCACACTAAAAAATATTTGAAAACCACTGGTCTGAGCAGTGTTTCTCAAACATGCACCAGAATCACACCGGCAAGGCTGGCAACTAATGAATGGCACTTGGCATCACCTGGGTGCTTGTAGGAAATGAGGTACCCCAGGCCCCACCCCAGTCCTATGAATCAGAATCTGCATTTTAACAGGACTTCAGATGAATCAAATGGGCAATAAAGTCTGAGGTGTGCTGGTCTAGAGCATTCCTGTCATATATTAGGAAATGGGCCCGGCAGGGGGCTGGAGCCTAAGGTTCTAGACTCAACTGTGCTTCTTCCCTGAAGCCTTGGACCAGCCATGTTTGCTCCTCTGGGCCTTAGTTTCTCTTTACTGATAGGACGGTGGGGAGGGAGGGAACTGGATGAGACCAGGGATGGCAAATAAGGTCCATTTCTCAATCCAACTGATCAACTGGCAGTAGCCACGTGCCTAATATGTTTAAAAGGCTACCTCTGGGCTCAGTACTGACTGCGCGCAGTGACTGACCCGTGACGAATGCCACAGGCACTGCCGGGGAGAGAAGCGGCCCACCTTGCTAGAACGGGCGGTAGAGTGGTGAACAAGACATCATCCTCACCCTCAAGGAGCCATTGGGTGCCAGGGAGACAAAACATAAGCGGACAATGCCAAAGGGAACCTAATCCAGTCTCTCCGGGATCAAGGAGGACTTCTACGAAGAAGCAATAACTAAGCTAAAACCTAAGCATGACTTCAAATGACCCATGAGAAGCTGGGAGGGCAGGTTCTAGAGAGAGCGAACAGCATACACAAAGGCTAAGAGGTAGGAAAGAGCATGTTAAGTCCAGGAGAACTGTTCCCTGTAAGCGAGGAATCGAATGCTACATGGGAAGTGGTAAGAGAGCAGTGGAGAGGTAGTGCCAGGCCAGGCTAGGAATTTAACCCCGTAAACTTAAGAAAGATTTTAAGTAGGGTGTGTGACTTGAGTTTTGCAGGTTGGAAAAATTATTCAGTCACTGGTGGACAATGGATTGAAGGAGACAGGAGATAGAGAATCGGGAGAAAAAGAAGTTCGCACCAGAAAGTAAATCAACTTATGTCACCAAGCACAATGTTTAGTTTAGCCGATGTTTTTTACAGCAAGACTTTCCAGACGATTTACACTCTGGCCTAGCTCCTTATGTTTAAGCAGCACTGAGTCAGGTGGCCCTGGTAATCCAGGGGAGAGATCCACTCGGCCTAGGGTGGTAGCAGTGGAGATGGAGAGAGGTGGACAGACTTGAGAGATATTTACCAGGTAAAATTGACCGTATTTGATGATTGACTGGATTGGGGGATAAAGGAGGAGGAAAGAAGGATGATGCCCAGATACCAGTTTCGGCAACAGAGAGAATATCTCACTGAGGTCAGGCAAAGGCCCCCCTCTGCTCTTACATTCTGTGACCCAGTGACCCTACTTAGTGACCAGTGTCCTGGAAATTCTCTCTAAGCTTGAAAGCACACAAAAGATCAGAAAGAAGACCACCTTTCATCCGATCCTCCCCCAGCTCCTGAAGTTAGGGGAGGACACTGGTGATGCCCCCCGTGTGCCACACACACGACGGCAACTTGAGCACAGCCAGGTGTTGGTGGGGCCACAATGACCACCCACCCACAGCTCCCACCCTTGGATCAGCCAGCCTGTGGGGAGACAGGGCTCAGGCCTTTGTGATCTGCACAGCGAGATCTTTCCTCCGAGAAAGAGCTCATTCTAGAGAAGCCAGGGCTGAGGCCATCCTCGAGAAAGAATCGGGAGACTGGGTGCTGCCTGCCACCAGGCGTGGGTTCCCTGGAGGCCCAGGGAACCCACGGCCTCCAGGGAACCCACGGCCTCCATACCAACGACCATGATGTTGAAGTCGAAACCAGTCTTCATGGTCTTCTTGCGCATCTGCTCGATGATGGTGTCGATGCCAATGTAGCCCAGCAGGTTGGGGTTGATGCTGACGGGCTTCATGGGCACTGCCGGCTTAGGCCTGGGCTCAGGCACCAGCTCTGACATGGCTGCGTCCGTCCTGGTCTCCGGGAGCCCTGAAAAGCCAAGGTGGGAGGGGTGGGCTAGAGGAAAGCAGAAGTCACGTGGAAGGCACAGTATTATTCTCTGGATACAGAATCATACAGGGTTGGGCCTGGAAGGGACCTTACATGTCATCCGGTACAGGTCTCTCATCTCACAGATGAGGAGACTGACGCCTGGGGGGGAGGGGCTTGCCAAGAACACAGCAAGTCAGATGCAAAATCTGGACCAGTACCCAGACCCTCCAGTTGCTGGGGCACTTTCATATGCACCTCGCTGCTCCTAAGAACCACATCTGTGTCTCTAACCCAGGGGTTTCTCCACCTTGGCACTATTGACATTTTAGGCCAGATAATTATTGCAGGGAGCTGTCCTGTGCATTGTACGATGTTTAGTGACATCCCTGGCCTCTACTAGATGCAGGGAGTAGCCCCCCCAGTTTAATGACCAAAAATATTTCCAGACAGTGACAAATGTCTCCTGGGGACAACAGTGCCCCAGCTGAGAACCACTGATCTGAGAGATGTCTGGGGTTATTCTGACCTGAGTTCTTGCCTCCACCAGAAAAACGGCAAAGACCTTTTAGGATACTGGACCTAACATCTGTTGACTGCCTGTCACTGATCCAGTTGCTTGTCTTTTAGAAGCACATGGGGAGACTTCCCTGGTGGTCCAGTGGCTAAGACTCTGTGCAGGGGTCCCAGGTTCGATCCATGGTCAGGAAACTAGACCCCACATGCCACAACTAAGTGTTCACATGCCGCAACTAAAGATCCCACACACCGCAACTAAGACCTGGCAGCCAAGTAAATATATAAATAAATATTTAAAAAAAAAAAAAAAGAGGAAGCACATATAGGGCTACCCCATCTCTGCAGAGTGAGCATCACTCCTGTCTCCCAGCCTCCGTGTCCCCTCTGTTCCACAAGCACTGCTGCAAAGTAAGGAGGTCTGTGCCCTGAGGTGCCCCCAGACACCCTCCGAGCCTTAGTTTTGAGTCTGAGGGGGAATAAGTCTCCCCTTTTGACTGCTGGGGAGAGGATGAGACCCAAGTAGGGGCCATCACTGACCTAAGATGACATGACACAACGTGTTCTTGGGATGGTGGGTAGCAAAAGAAAGGCGAGGCTGAAATCACAGTCCTTCCCCAGTGGAGAAAGGCAAACATCCCTCTGTGTCTGGCAGATCATGGGTATATTCACATACAAGAGAAATCTGTGTGTTTCCTCATCAGGCCACTGTCCACCAGGGTGGGTTTCAGGATACAGCAACTCCATTTCCCTCCCCGTAAAACGGGGGTGTGTGGTGATGTGGAAAGAGCCTGGCTCTGCTGCTTGCCAGCTTTGTGGACTTGGGCAAACCACCCCCCCTTTCCACGCGCCTGCTTCCTCCTCTGTACTCTGTAAACCGGTTAGGATCGTGAGTAAGGCTGTAGTGAGCACTGCACATGAGGTATATGCCTAGAAGCGCCTCACTGTTCCAGACCCTGTTGCTCCTGTCCCTTTCAACTTCACAGCCTGTCAGGAGGGGAAATGAAGTGGTGCATATGAAAGCACTCGTTAGAGGGAGGTGCCCCAGATACTAATTACACAGCACAGTTACTGGACTCCACGCTCTCCAAAGGCCCTCTTCCAGCTCTGCCATTCTAGAATCCTATAGTTCACGGTTACTACCCTGCAGAGTCTCAGGCTCACAGAGAGAACTGATGGAGCAGCAGATGGGAAAGAGGGTGAGGGGACAGGAGTACCTCCCTCCCCCACCCCCAAACCCAGCCAGGAGTCTGTTCTTGTACCCCTACCACCTGGTCCTTCCACTGGTCCTGGCAAGACTCTCTCTCTCTCTCTCTCTCAATTAGAAACCATTCTTTCCTTGTCACTCCCAGGCACAGCCAAATCTGACAAAGTCTCAGGACCTCCCCAGGGCCTGGCGTGGCTCCCTCCTGCTTCCTAGGAAGCTGTTGCCAGCCAGGCGGCCCCAGAAGGCAGCAAGATTGGCTTAGCCCTGCAGCAGCTGACTCTCAGCAGCCTGGTCATCACATCCACTCTGCACGTGGCTCCCGGACCCAACTCAGCACACCTGCACTGGGGGCCAATGCCCCATTTTCCCTGCCCAGCTGCTCATCTCCCTCATGCCTCTACAGCCAGCCCATTTGGTCTCCACAACCTGTGTTGTGAGATAGATCCATCGGTGTGTATGTGTGTGTCAGGCAGGCAGGGTCTTACCTCATTTTACAGACCTGGAAAGTGAGTCTAGTATTTATTTATGGGAGTTTTTGTAAGTATTTTTATAAAGTGTGTGTCCTTACCATGGCCTGCTCAGCCCTGGTCGGTCAACTGCAGCATCTTCAAAGATCATTCCCAAAAAGACAGACCCTGGTTACAAGAAGGGGGCGGCCTACCAGATTCCCAGGCAACTTCTAGGGGCTACAGCAGGCCTGCTGCAGGTCCAGAACGGGAGCAGATCTCACCTTCATTCTTCTATCAAGCACCTATGAGCACCCATAGAGCTCCTGCTGGCAAGCTGCCCCTCCCAACCGCATGGCAATTACAACCACCCATCAGCCACAATTACTGCAAACCTGTGGTGGGTCACTGTGTCACAGCCTTTGCTGGAAGACCCTTTGCCCACTCCAGCCCCTGGCTAACTCGTCCTCTTTTTTCGCCATTCAGCCCAAGGGCTACCCCTCAGGAAACCTTCTGCTTTCCCATCTCGTGTGGATGCCTCTCTTCTGTGCTGCCTCAGCCCCCGACTAACTTCCTAGTCATCACATTCATTCACTCACTCACTCCATCCCATCCCTCCCATCCAGGCCTTCCCACAGGCTGTCAAATGGGAGCCTACTCCAGCCAAACTTTAGACTAAATGCCAAGGACACTTTTGGACCCCAGACAAGGTCCTTGCCCCCAAGGGCCCACTGTTTGGTGAGGGTGCCTGACAAGTGCATAAAGCCCTCCAGGGCACAGGACAAATGCAGCTCTGGAGCTGAATTCTGCAGCTCCATCCTCTGCCCTTACAGCTCCCCTGGTCCCTTCATGCCAACTCCAGATGGCCCATACTTGACTCCCAGCTGGATGACCCCTGTGAGCCTCAGTGTTCTCCTCAGGAAAATAGGTATAGTACCTACCTTGCTGGGTTGCTATGAAGCTTATACAAAAGCATGGACATCAATGACCTGGCACTGAACATATGCCAGTTCCCACCCTTCTTCAGGGCAGGAGCCACGTCTTATTGATTTCTGTGCCCCAATGAACCTAGTATAACAAGACACTCAACAATGAATGAATGAAGGCAGATGTTACTTCAGAGCCATCACTTTTCTCTTCCCTCAGATGCTGCTCCCTTGGCAGAGCAGCTGACCTCCACCCAGCAGATGGCTCTTGTGTGGGCCACGGTCACGGAGGTAGACTCTGTTACGAGACTTTCTCCTTCCCCTGCAACAGGGATTGGAGGGGGGCTCCCCAAGGGTGGGCAAGAGCTCAGGATGGGGTCACGGCAGGATGTAGCTCAAATATGCCATCCCGCCTAAGTGGTTCTGGGGGCTCCTCCTAAACTCCCAGCTCCCTCAGGGCCCCTGGAGAGGAGGGGATCTGTCTGCAGCACCCCCTGCCGGGAGCCACCTGCCCATCAGTGCTCCAGGAAGAGACATTGTCCACCCCACTCAGCTCTAGCTTAGTCTCCACAGAAACAGCACCTCCCCCCATCCCCGTGCCAAGCAAGGACCCTGGTGCTTTCTTTTACAGGCAAATGAATGGCTTTGTCTTTGTCTGGCCCAGGGACCCCACCCCTCTGTTGGGAAGGTGGCAGCAGGGGGAGGGGACCTTTCCAGAATAGCACCTTCCTCCCTGGCTTAGTGGGGATCCAGGGGGTGGGGAGGCTCTTCCATGGGGAGCTGCAGGTCTTCCTCAGCCCCCAGCCGCCTTCAAAACAGCGCCCCCACCCGCAGAGGCAATTCCAGTCCACCCCAGCTCCAGCCTCCGGCTCTCAGAAAAGGAATCACAAAAGATACCTTAGTACTTTCCCATTCACAGAAGCAAAGGGCCCTGGGATACCCCTGCCTCCATCCCAGTCCTCTAGAGGCCAACGAGTTCCCTTGGAGACCACCAGCTGGTGCCCGTCTCAGTGTGCGCCTATGTGTGGGGGAAGGGGTCTACGTGTCAGCGCACAGGTCTCTTGTCTGGCTGTAGGTGGTCCTGATACCTGTGCGTGGTGTGCATGTGTGTGCACTTCTTGGTGTGCTCCAGTGTGGAGCTTTCTGTGCGCATCTGGGTGCCTCCTCGCTTCTTCGGGGCTCTCTGTATCTCTCCGCGTTTCCATATGTGCATTTCTCCGGGCTTGTACATCTTGGGATGTGTGCCACCGTGTGTGCGTGTGTCCGTGCGTATGTCACCGCGCATGGGTTCCTCAGCGCATCAACCCTCCCCGGGTAGCATCTCCAGCCGGGCTTTGGGGGCCGCAGCCTCCTCTCGGCGCGCGCCGGTGGCGCCGCCGGCCTTCCTACCTTTGGACATGAATCCTCCTTTGTCTCCGTTCCTCCGGGAAGATGCTCAGGGCGCGGGGCTGCAAGGCTGAGCTGGACGCGGGCTCCTCCTGGGCCGAGCAGACCCTGCAGCCGGGCCTCGCCCCTCTGCGTTCTCCGCCCACCCGCCCGGCCCGCGGCCCGGCAGCGCCGTCCCCGCGCCCCGCGCTGCCGCGCCAGCCCGGGACTTCGACTCGGCAGGCTCGGCGCAGCGCTGCCCCTGCCCGCTTGCACCGATGCTGCTGCCGCCGCGCCGCCGCGCCGCCGCCGCCGCCGCCGCCGCTGCCACCCGCACCACGTGACCCGCCCGCCCCGCCGAGGGCCCTCCCCTCCCCCTCCCTCGGCGTCCTCGCCCGCACCGGCTCCCCTCCCGCCCGCACACGGGAGCGGGTACCCAGGGCCGGTTGCGGGCCGCCGGGGAGGCGCGCGGGGGCGCTGTGCCTGCAGGCTCGAGGTTCCGGGTGGGGCATGGTTCCCGCATCCCAGTCCCGGTCCCTCCCCCTCGATCCTGCTCCCGGCCTCTTACCCTCTAGGCCGGGGCGGGGCGGGGAGCGCAGGGGACCTGTGGGAGCTGCGGGAGGCGGTGCGCGCGCGAGAGTCACGCGGTGGCTGGGATGCTGGGCTGGTTCAACGCGGTTCTGCCCAGACGCGGGTGCCTGTAGAACCCTGACTGATTCAGGAGCCCGGGTTCCAGGCCTGGCTCTGGGATGATGAGCCCTGTGACCTTGAGCTAATCAGGAACTTTCCTGAGCCTCAATTTACCCTTCAGAAAAATCATCCTTGCATTCAGTCCACTTGAATGGACAGCATATTGCCAGGCCTTGAGGGGACAGGAATGAGGGTCACCATTTCTGTCCTCAAAGAGCTCTGGGTCCGGTGGGTCAAGACAGAAAGCTGGCCTGTCCTAACGGAGGGGGTGGGGTATGCACAGGGTACTGTGAGTGCAGGGTGGTGGGCACCCACCGGGTACTGTGGATGCAGGTGTGAGGGCCCTTGGTGAGGGCCAAGATGGAAAGGCAAATATAGGTGCGAGGGAAGAAGGGAAGCAGTCTATGGAGAGACCCAGAGGCGAGAGCTGCATGGTGCTGGGGACAACAGAGCTCCCGGGTGCACCAAAGCAGGGAAAAGTCCAGACAGGGATATAGAGTTAAGAGGCTGGAGAAGTCCAAAACCTTGGAAGCCAGGCTAAGGAGCTGGACTTATCAAAGAAGGTAACAGCGGGTCACCAACAGCTGTTAAGCAGGAAGTGCTGCCATGAAATATACGAGTCCCTGTGGCAGCTGTGTGGAGGGGCAGGGGGTGGCCTCACAGGGACAGAGGGATGGAGAGGAGGGGACAGACAGCCAAGGACTGAGGAGCTTGATCAACAGAGTTGGAATTAGACTGGATGGGAGGAAGGAGAGAGAAAGATGAGGAAGACGAGGATACTCAGGTTTCTGGTATGGTGCCTGCAGCTGAGGGAGTGAGATCAGGGAGGGCAGAAGTCAGGAAGAAAGGGGCTGCCTCTAGACATGCCCGGGAGTTGTCTGGGTAGAGGGGTCCGGCAGGCCACTGGGTGTCTACACCTGCATTTTGAGAGAGAGGGCTGGGCTGAAGATGGAGGGAGAGCTGAGGTCCCATAGGGAGGAGGGAAGACCAGAGCCTGGGTGGGCTCCCGCAGGCCGAGTGTGCAGAGGGCAATGAGAAGGGGGCTGACAACCCCCAACGCCAATTAAGCCACTGGACTGGATGCTTTCCAAGCATCTGCCAGACCCAGAATCTCTGCGCCTTTGAAATGTTGGGAATGAGACTGCCCAGAGTAGAATTCCAAGATCCGGGTTCCCATGGGCTTACTGCCATCAACAGCTGTGCGACTTTAGGCGTGTCACAGCCTCTCTAAGACCAAATGAACTTCTAGCCCTTGTGTTGACCTGTTTTTTCTTCTATGTAGGACTTCCAACCTACAAGTCCCCAACTCACCTTTCAGGACTAAAGGGCTGGGGGTAAGGGACCGAGAAAAAATTCCAGGTGAGGCACCTTTTAAGCAATAACCATCTTCCTGAAAGGCCGACTGGGGATGATTTAGAAGGTCTTGGGTGAGATCACTATTCACATCTAGAGGAGCCTGGCAGTGTCGACTGTTAGACAAATCACCACTTACTGAAGTGCTGGTCTATATTTTCGTGTAGGTGGTTTGTTTTCAAGCTGGACTCACCTATAGATCACCTAATTATTTCAGCTCTTCAGGGAACAAAGAAACAGTCATGGAAGATGCTAAAGGACAGACTCAGCATAATTGCTCTCCCACAAATTACCCCTGTAAACCCCCTTCTGATGGCTTCCCTCAACCTGACCTCTGATTGGCAGAGTGGGACCCAGTTCAGGGTGCACCCCCTGTGTTCTGCCACTCAACCCCATTCCCTTTTCTCCCAGCTCATTCAACTCTGACTTTAAAGTCCCCCAGATCTATCCAAGCGTAATCCAGCTCCAGGCTCCTACACCCCAGCAGTCCAGCGCATCCCCAGCCCAGCCCTTTGCATTTACCTTTGGTTTCTCTGGCCGGGTCCAGCATGGTGAGCTCTGTGACCCAGTCCGTGGCAGCATCTGCCGTAGCATGGTCCAGGGCTGCATCTGTGCTTCTGCTTGGCATTGATGGGTAGGTGACAGTGTCTGATCTCGTCAGCTTAATGATACTGTCCAGTGTGGTCTCACCAGTGACTGGGTCTGGGGTGACCGGCACAGCTGAATGCATGGCTGTGCCCAGCCTGCTTGTATCCAACACAAGAGAACCCGTAGTCATGTCCAGCTTGGCTCTGTTCGCCCCGGCCAACACCAGGGCTGTGTCCAGCTTGCCTGGATCTGGTGCTGCCACTTCCCTGGCTGTACCCTCCGTGGTTGTATCTGGCTTGCCTGTGCCTGCTGTAGCTATGGCTTTGCCCAGCTTTTCTGGGTCTGGGGTCACCGCATCCGTGACCGTGCGTGGCTTGGTTGTGCCTGCTTTAGCCAAGTCCATGGCAGAGCCCAGTTTGCTATCCAGAGGAGGGAACTCAGTGCTTGTGTCCAGTCTAGATGTGTTTGGTGTAGCCAAGTGGACAGCCAAGCCAGGCCTATTGGTGGCCATCGTGGATAAATGTCCGGATGTGCCTGGCCTCGTTGTATCCAGGGCAGCCAAATGCATGGCCGTCGCAGGCCCCGTGGCAGGGATGGCCCTTTGGAGATGCAGCCGGGGTCTCTGAATACCCCTGGGCCGGGGCTTGCCTCTTCCTGGAGAAGCTCTGGTAGGCACATGGGCGGTCATTGGGACAGGGTGCCTCTGACCCACCAAGCCTGGCCCTGCAGGACCTGGTGGACCCTGAGCTAACCGGGATTGGAAAGGCAGGGTCAGGCATGAGCTCACCAGGGGCTTCTCCACCGCAGGCACCCTGCTGGGCTTGGCCAGACCTGGGTGACCTGGGCCCTCGGAGTGGACCCTGTCCCCTGGCACTAGGGTCACAGGTGGTGAGTCAGGAGAAGGCAGCCTCCTTCCTCTGTGGGTGGCAGCCTCCCTGCCCGGGGTAGACACCTGTTCCCAGTGAGAAGGCAGGGGGCCCAAGCGCCATGCCTGGCTGTGCTGGCGGACTGTTAGGGAGATGGAGCTGAGCTTCCTGGGTGCCAGGCTCTTGCCAGTCTCCTGTGGGGGCACACTCCACGCCCTAGCTCCAAGGCCTGGTCGGCCGGAAGCCTGTGGGATGTGGCTCTGGGGAAAAGCATCCAGATGGATGGTCTTCTTGAGAACAGGGATGAGAGGCGACACCCCTCCAGGGAGCTTTGAGGGGCGGGCAGGGCGCCCCAGTAGGTGGCTGCGGGAGAAGGAGGTTCCAGCGCCTGGGGCTCCGTGAGGCTGCATCGCAAAGTCGTGGTCCATCCAGGTCTTTCGTCTTCCCCTGATCGACAGAGAAAAGGGGCCGAGCGGGGGTGAGGTGCTCGAGCCTGCAGGTGCTGGCCCTCCCCGTCCTGACTAGCAGCTAACACTCCTCTGAAGGGGCCTTGTTTGGGAGACTGTCAAGTCCTCAGTGGAGTACACCTGTCCCTTCCTACAGCCCTCCTACAGCTCCCACCTGCTACGTGCCTACACACCTCACACACACACACCTACCAAGATACCAGGTGAATGTGGAAGAATGTTCCAGCAATGGGTGGAACCCAATGAGCAGGCTGCCCCGGCATGAGGAAACCTCTCCCTTTGCAGGCCTGAGTGTGGCCTCTCTCTGGCCAACTCCATGGAGGTCACATATACCTTTTCAGGAGCCCCAGTGGAGGGCAGTGGTTATTGGAAGCTTATCTGCTTCTTCCAGAAGGGGCCAGAGGACTCTGAGTTCCCACACACAGCAGCCAGAATAGGAGTTCAGGCGTCCAGGTAGGAGACCAAGAGGTGACCAGTTTGGCTTGGGAAGAGGGTCTGCACCTGGGGCTCCTGCCCGGAACTAGGAAAGAGCCCTGGGCTGGCCTGCTGCTGGAGCTGAAATCGGAGCCAGAACTGGAGCTGAAGAGGGCCCTGGACGAGGTGAGGCTTGGGAAGTAGAGAAGTAATGAGCATTCACAGGGTACTTATCCAGTGAACAAGCCACAGTATCTGCCCTGGGGAGACCGGCCATCCCCAGGGGCACCGGACAGTGAAGCAGGCAGAGCTATGCTGGAGGTGAGCCTTGTGGGGGAAGCATTAGCTCAGCCTTTGGGGTTAAAGGAGGGAGGCTGGGCCTGGGGCTGGGGGAGTTCACACAGAAGGCCCAAAGGTGAGGAAATGTGGCATCTTTCTGGAAATCCTCCATGGGGCTCCCAGGCTGTGTTGTGGGGGAGGGGCGAGACAAGGCTGCAGGTGCGCTGGGGCCCAGGCCAGGCCACAGTGATGCTCAGGCCCTGGAAGATGACCTGGTCAGATCTGCAGGTGGCCACTCCAGGACTGTGTGACGGCAAGATCAGGGGGGAAGAGAAGTGGAGGCAAGGAGGGAGTTCCCTGGTGGCCTAGTGGTTAGAATACCAGGCTCTCACTGCCGTGGCCCCGGTTCACTCCCTGGTCCGGGAACTGAGATCCTGTAAGCCTCGCAGCAAGGAGAGCAGCGAGTTGAAACACTCTGTGAGCTGGGGGTGGGGCTGGAGAAGGCTGAATAGCACAGAGGAAGCAGCAGCAGGACTGCCAGGACATGGCGAGTCAGGGAGGGGGCGTCCAGGACTGGCTGGTGGTCTGCGTGGATGAGCCATCCCCTGACGGGGGCTCCACAGCTCCCAGACGGCCAGCTGGTGCA